TCTCTCTCTCTCTCTCTCTCTCTCTCTCTCTCTCTCTCTCTCTCTCTCAATGTATTTGGAGGCCAGAGAGATGGTTCAGCAAACTAAGGTTTAATCCCCAGTCCTGCATGTCCCCTCCTGTGGGGCGCTCTAAGCTGGCGAACGAGTCTGGATGTGGTGGCGCACGCCTGTAATCTCAGCATTGGAGAGGCTGAAAGCAGGAGGATCACTATGAATCCGAGCTGCCTAATGAAAGCCTGTACCAAATACGTAAATGAAAAAAAAAATGTATTTGATACAGATTCTCACTACGCAATGCTGAGCCATAGTGATCCTCCTCTGTTTTTCACCTCCCCACACCTGGGGTTACAGGTGAATGCCACCAGGCTTGCTCTCGGTGGCCTGCTAAGTGAGCCCAGGGGTGGGGCCAGTGCAGCATGTGGTACCAGGGATCGAATCCCAGTCCCTGTGCTGGCCTAAGTAGGTGCTAAGTCCACTGAGCTATCTTGCTGTTCCTCAAACTTCTGATTCTTCTGCGTCAGCCTCCCAGAGTGATATGATTACAAGCATGCACTATTATGCCCAGCTTTGATAGTTTTTGGTTTTTGTCTGGCATAACAGAAACTGAAATAAATAATACTCAGTCTGGGAAGTGTTCTATTAGGCTTTCACCACATGAGTCTGGGCAGTCTCACTGGTTGGCACTGTCCTGAGTTTGGCTGAAATCATGCTTTTTCCAGGCTTCTGGTTTCTCCAGTGTCATGCAGTGATTTGGAAGGCTACTACTGTGGACCTGCTATGGCTGTGTCCCCTTTGGGGCCTGGGCCTTAAAGAGGTCTCTGCTCTCACTCTGCCCGTGTGTCATCTGTGCTTGCTGAGCAGCAGGGGTGGCAGTGAGTTTTATTGTCATGGTGTGGTCTAGGCAGAGCTGAGTCAGAGGCCATCAGTCTCTGGTAGTCTCAGTCCCCCTACCTGTTTTTCCTGAGGTTGAGAAGCAGTCCCTCATCACCTCTCAGGTCTTCCCTGCTTCCACAGCCCAGGGATCACCATCCTGCCCTGCAGCATGTTCCTGGGGTGTGTCCTTGTGCAGAGGAACCTCTCCCATGGGTGCCACACACCTCCTCCCCTCACCACCTCAGCCTTCCTCTTGGGGAATAGGGTAGCCCATGGGAGTGGACTGTGAGTGCCCTGCTGTGCTCTTAGGTTTGGTTGTAGTCACATCTGAATCACTGCTGCTGCGCAAAGGCCCTGTCTCTCCTATTTGCCATCGTGTGGTAGTATCTGTTCCCCATCTTTCCTTATGTTTTGGGCTCCCTGGTTATCCAGTAATCTCAGCCCTCTGATAAGATTGAGAGAAGCCAGGGGGTGTCTAAATTCTGTAGCTTTTTTCCTGACTGTTAGGGTGAGAGGGACCCTTTTCTTTATTTTATTTTATTTTATTTTATTTTATTTTATTTTATTTATTTGTGTGTGTGTGTGTGTGTGTGTGTGTGT